TAATGATAACCATCAAGACGCCTGCCATTTGATATAATAACTTGAAAGTAATATTCATCTGGAAATTAATAGAAATGGCAATGGAGTCAGTGGTGGGGAAATGTGGCTTTCTCAAATAGTGAACTTCTAGGGTATTTTCACTCTATTTTAACCATTTTAAATGGGAATCATAACAGTTTTATAGTGTTTGGAAGCCATTGGTAGTGCTTCTAATCTGATATCTTGACGAATGATACAGGCCTTTGGAGCGTTCATAATCAATTTCCAATAATTTTGCAATGAATGTAGGTCATTTAAGTGATCTATTCTTCAATCAATCAAGTGAAACCGTAAAGCTTAATTATTGTCCCGAATTTTAGCCAATAGTGAGGTACTACTCGAAATTTCACGTTCAAACATCATCATTCTCTTAAATTCACTCCACCTGACCCGCCACATACGAGAAGATTTAAAGATCATCTTGACATAAAATGAGACCTTTGATCTGTAGGAAGGTTTCGTTTTGCAAATTTTAGAATGCATTAACTGGACAGAAGTTCTTGATGTTCTACGTTTCTTGCAACATGAGCAAATGTAAATTGGTTCTATTACAGGAATCACCGAACAGGATCTTGAAATCTCAACGTTATTAAAAGAAAATGTAAAATAATGATGTCAACACACACTTTTATTAAAATTAGGCTTTTGACAAAAGCGTCCTTTTATTTGTGCGACCGGAATAGGTAGGCATAATTTATGGCGCCGTCTAGACATGAATGAATGCCACCTTATTGCATTGAAACCCTGTACTTTTGTGATGGACCAAAGGATTGGAGGCTGATGTTCTTACAAAGCATAAGTATCGCGGAAAGCCACTTGTTGAGATAACTAACTTTACGCCCATTAAAAAGTTGTCCATCTGTTACCGAGACTTTATTTATTTCGAATGGCAGACGTTTTGATAGCTGACTTAGGGCTTCACAAAGGGGAGAAATATCAAAGTGAGAAAAATTCGAGAGGAGGAACAGAAGAGTGGTTCACAGATGTAAAAGAGACAGACGGACACAAAGGCAGAGAAAAGGTAAGATGAGTACTATGGAAGTAGTGGAATGTGAAATATGATGGGGTCATGGTAGTTAGAAGTCAACTGCCGGTTTATTGACTTTCTTTGCCGTGTGAATTTACGTCGCCAGGGTGCGCCACGTAGAGTTAAGTCTATCGCACACCCCCTGTTACCGAGAATTGTAGCATTATGAAGCTTCTGCGATGCAATCTTATCACGTCTTCTTTCGCCTTAGCGAGTAGCTAACTGTGACGAGGTAAACTGTATTTGTGAAAGACCACACAGACATCAAGCATACACTTCTCTATGGAGTCCTATTTAGTGGAAAGCGAGGTGTAAGTCTAAAGAATAAGGATCGATAATCAGTTAGTGTCAGTGGTATAGGGGGGGGGGGGGGGGGAAGGGGGGGGGGGGGGTGTGAACGGGGGCGGGATGATTAGTCATTCTAGCTCTCAGAAGCGATATTGGGTGTGGCCATCGAATTTATCTGTTTTCCAATAAAAGCTGTTGTTCATGCCGTTCACAATTGATCCCTAACATGCTCCATTTTTCTTCTTTTCCTTTTAGGCGAGGAGAAGCCTTATCGCAGCAAGGAGTTTATTGAGTTCACACGACTGTGTGAAGACGCCTACCGCATATTGCGTCGTCATTCTAATCTCCTACTTACGCTATTAGCCATGATGCTTCCATCTGGTCTGCCTGAGCTCACCTGTGTTGGTGACCTCGAGTACGTCCGCAAGACGCTGGCTGTTGAACAAACGGATGAAGAGGACGCTCTTAATTACTTTAATGCCAAATTTAATGAAGCTTACAATGGAGCGTGGACAACGAAAATAGATTGGTTTGCCCACTGGTTCCGTCGTTGAAGAGAAACCAAATTGCGCTACAGATTAGATTGTATGCTGTGCAGTATTAATTATGTAAATATCTACTTGACATTATGGAATGCTCGTTTTTTTGTTTCACTGTGATGATACAATGAATGATGTGAAATATCAATGTCTACTATTGCAATGTTATTGCTTTATTTGGAATTAAATCTTGTAAATCTATGAAAAGAAAAAGTTTTACATTTTTTCCACTGGTCCTTCCGACGAGTTTCGGCCTCTATCTCGTCGGACTTAAGTGACGTTTCAGTGACCACCAGATCACTGCCAAATCATTTATGGCCTAATAAAAGCTTTCAGGTGGAAGGCTAAAATTTTGAAACCTATGTGAAAGACATGCTGAAATGACTTAAAAATTTATGTTTTGACATTTTTCGAGGCTGTGACCAAATCAATTTATAGTCCTGACTTGTTGGCCCTTGCCTGACTGCGGCAAAGTATTTTAATGCTTGGTGTAATAACAACAGAACCTGGATAATGCATCGCATCACATTTTACTTATAAAATATCTATGACTCACCTTAATTGTGAAAAGCTATCTAAAATGAGTGTGTGATTATGACTTCGAATTTATCAAAGTTCTTTCAACTTCATTCGGGAACTAATACGCTTCTATTAATTCTTGAAATTGCAATATCGAATAGAATATGTGTGGAAATGAAAGGTGTGCGACAACACTTGATTAGAAATTTCACTCACCCCCTCCCCCCTTAAATTGCTCTAAAAGTGGGAAATTATAGCACGACAAGATGAATGGACTGTCCCCCCCCCCCCCAATCTTGCAACAGTAATAAGTTACCTAAAAAGGCTTGTCCACTTTTCGCAGTTTGAGTGACATTTAGGAACATTTGTTGTTGTTCACTTTTATTCGCAACTTGAGTTGTCTACAAGTGGTTGTCTTTACGGTCAAAATCTTCCAGTTGTCATTAGCTATGACATTGAAAGGTGACTATCCTTCTCACCTCCAAATCGTATCTTTCGTTCCACCTTTTAATTAAATTTTGATTTGAAATTATGCCTGCTTTCTTATTGATTATAACAATTCGATCCGTTTGTTTGAATTTAGTAATATCGATCAAAAAAATTTGATTGCACACAATGCCGAGAATTTTCATTCCGGCAAGTTTTAATTTATATTTCATTTACTGACATTTTTTCGCATTTTGTGAGACTAAATAATTCAAATTCATACGCGCTAAACCGGCAATCACTTTATAAACTCAAAGTTTCCTTTTTCTCAACCAGTTTTGCTAAAGTTCCTTCTCTCAAGTAAATGGTGCGGAAATTTTTTACAATTCGCTTGATCCCAGAGGTAATTCGTTATTTTGCTTCATAGACCCTAGATATTCCTATTTCCAAGCAAAATAGCCCCTAATTCCAAAGATTGTTGGCCTAAGTTTGTCAATGACACTTACGCAAGATGACTTTACTCAAGATTGGATAAGACAAAATTTTATGGGAGATTCGTGTAATTAGGTTATTTGGCAGTAGCAATGAAGAGGATATGAAAAATTGTGCGTTTTAAGCTTCAGTTTTGCTGGAATGCTTGATTTAAAATGAGTAAAAGTTGATTCGAACGTCTTGCATTTGTTTCTATATCAGATGCATCTACAGATTATTTTGATGGCGTCAAAATTGAACTTAATTGGGCTTTGGTAAAGCAATTAACAACTGTGGGCGAATTTTGTAGTATAACAATTATTGTGGAATAATAATACACTACCTGTGATCTCTGATGCAATTAATGCACTCTTGTTACAACTTAGTGTCACGATTAAATAATTTCACGTAGAACTCTAGTTCCACAGAATCGACTTTGATGATGAACACGGTAGTTGTGTCTGGAGTATTTAATTACTGTAGGTAAAATTATCATGCTATAGAAATGTAATAAGCTTACCAAAATACTGTGTTTGATCTTTTAAGCCTGTAGCGGATTGCTACGCTACTAAAGCCTGGCTTAAGTCTCAGAAATCTTTGTGATAGATTCTCCTAATTACTGAGACTCCAGAAGAAAGAGACGTATCACTGAAACGTTTATTCACCAGTTAAGGATAGCGAATTGTAATTTTTGGCAAAGCGATTAGTTATCAGATAAATCTAGCATAATTCGCGTGAACATTAATAGCTAAATATCTCTGAGTAGTGTTCTGTAACAGGATTTCTATTGGTCATTGATGAAGTGTCCCACAAGCCGTTGAATATTTCACAAACACATTAATATCATCTTTCGGCATGTCAACTTCATATAAATAGAGGACTCCACTGAAGTACTACCACTGAATGAAACTTAACGGATCAGGGACAGTTTCCAAGGTTTTAATCCTAATTTACCCATCTGATAGCAAACTATTTATATTTCGCAAATATTCGCTTAAACAAAAGCCTTCTAAAGTTCAAACCGTCATCATATTAATTTTCACCTATTCCTGATTTAATTAATTTGTCACCATCTCCTGTTCTATTTATCGCCTTCGGGGTTTCTATACATTTTGTTTTAATAAAACTTTTATAATATGAACCTAGTTCACATACCTTTGTGAAGTTGCCTGCAGAAATAATGGAGGACTTGAATTCCAAGAACATCAAAGTCGCTTTTGTTCTTAAAGCCCAAGCTGCAATAAAGTTGGGTGCGTTTGCATTTTATTATTATTATTCTTTAATTGAATTTCTGGTTATAAAGCAAATTTAGCATATTGCATTCGTGTGGAGGCATTTCTTCACCAACGGATAATTTTTCATCCAAAATTGGCTATTCGCGTCACTATTTTTGAATTCTTCTCCATCGAAAAACTCATTTTTGAAAACCTGTTTTAATTGATTTTGGGTTGAGTCGAAACTATTTTAGGCAATTTTTGCGTAGTAGTCGAATTAGCTTCTCTTATATAGTGTTAATACAATCGGAAAGCTAACTCTGCTTGCCTCTTTCCACCAACTGGTAAAGGCATCTGACTGCATTTAAAGTTAAATAAAGTTTTTTTCGAAATTTCTATTGTTGTAATGAATGTCGCATGCCTTTGATGTGCAAATTCCTGGCATATTTCAAAATCAAAATTTTTTAAAAAATTACCTCTATTTACTTAATTGTTCCCTACGGGAGCCCGGATAGCTCAGTCGGTAGAGCATCAGACTTTTAATCTGAGGGTCCAGGGTTCGAGTCCCTGTTCGGGCGCAAGTGCGCAAGGGTATGGCGGGTCCAATTTTGCGCACTTTGCTGCGCCTCCCGCCTAGTAGGCCATCGCTCTCTTGCTTTGCATCACCCCCTGGGTGAACCAAAACACCGCTCCCTGACCGGGAGTTGAACCCGGCCACCTGGGTGAAAACCAGGAATCCTAACCGCTAGACCATCAGGGACACGTTCAACCTGCCATCTTTTCACCTACCCACCTCTCACCACCCCACTGACCTGTCCCAAGCCCTTCCCATCTCCCACTCACTCCCCTTCATTCCCCTCCCCTCTCCTCCTCGTCCTCATCCTCGTCTCTCTCTCATTGCCCTCCTTCTACTCTTCCTTCCTCAATCCCACTATTACTCTCTCTCCCCATTCCAGCCATAATTCCCCCCCCCCTCCCACCTCCCTCCATTCCCATCTGCAAAGTCACCACCGACACGGCGTGTTTAAGGGAGATGAAGTAATCACTGGGTTGTCTCAAGGCGATCGCAACCATGGCAGCAGAGTGGCGCAGTGGAAGCGTGCTGGGCCCATAACCCAGAGGTCCGTGGATCGAAACCACGCTCTGCTACCTTACCGTCCTTCACGGCGTATACCTTTTACCTAAACACCACCACATTCTTCACACTTCGCTCGGCCCTCCCACGCTAAGTTAGGGCAGTAACGCCTCCCAGTAGTCCCATTTGCTCACCTCCTCATTCCCCCCCGCATCTCCACCACTGCCAACTACCCCCTCTGAGTGCTCCAATGAGGTGGGAGCGTGTGAGGGCGCAGTGGCAAAGCGTTATAGAGCCAAAGCAGACTCCCTGACCGGGAGTTGAACCCGGGCCGCCTGGGTGAGAGCCAGGAATCCTAACCGCTAGACCATCAGGGAGACGTCCACTTCCCAACCTATTTGCCCACAACATCTTCCCTCACAACTCCCAACGGCAGCATTGGCGAATTTTAGTCATTATCAACATGGCCTATCGGCTTAAACAAGTGCTAGTGCTTGGTTTGTTCAAAATAGTTTATTTTATTTATCAGAAGGCCTCCTAAGACTCATCAATTAGTAGAAAGTGCATCGACAGTAATAAAAGTTTAGACAAGAGTGCTAATTTTTTGACAAAAATTCCCAACCCGAAAAGGCGAAATAAAAGACAATCACAGTACAAAAGAACGAACTTATTTAATCTCTTTTGGATGTAGTGGTGTGATGAATAAGTTTCTCAACGCTAAGGCTAGAATATTGGTGTTCCATCATCAAAAGTTTTATGGAGCATTTCAAACTCTATTCGCGTCAGGTTCATAACCGGTTTTCAAAAATAAACTCCTATTTCACGATTATTTCAGGTACGGTTACCTCTTTCCACCTAAATAATACTTAGTTTTAATAAACTTCACTACAATAACTATTGTAGGTGTGATTCTTTTCTTAAACTTACTCAGTAAAGAAACTCAACCTTCAACCAATTGGAAGTGAATATGGAGAGGCACTTGCCTCACCATCGAATCAGATGCTGTTGTTTAAGTCGACTTAATAGCCTAGCTTTCAGACAATACGAAAAATACGCCTATAATGGTTATAAAAACGAGATATTCGATAGGCTTACCTCCACGTGGTGAAGCCTTGGCAACGTATACTCATACGGCAAAAAGTCTATAAACCGGCAGTTGACTTGTGACCTCATACTACAATGGCCCCACTGCATGTCATGTTCTACCACTTTCACAATACTCAATTAACCTTTTACTCTCTACCTTTGTGTCTGTCTCTTTCGCATCTGTGAACCACTCTTCTCTTCCCCTCTCCATATTTTCCCACTTTGATGTTTCTCCCCTCTGGGAAGTTCGAAGTCAACTAATGGGCTAATGATGACTGTCATAAAGCCTGTCGTTTGATATCAATAAATATTAATAAAAATGCCTCGCCTCAGATCAAGGGAAAATAGACGCAAACATATCGCCACGCCGTTTTTTCCAGGTAGTAACCTGGGCTATAACCAGCTGATGAGAGAAGATAGGCTATCCTAATCTCCTCGAGCTTCGAATTGCTTGTCCCACCAATTGCGGTGAGGGAAATAAAAATCAAGGGAAATAAAAATCAAAAAGTCTACTTTCTTTCGGGGGACTTCATGTGTCTTAATTTCGCTTACAATTTTTTCATTGGCTGCTTATTGACTAACCGAGTTCTCTGCCTATAGAGAATTCGGCTTCGTTCTGCCCCTGTGTGATATATACCCTACTTCCACTAAGTTGGCAAGCCGTCGTCAACAACTCATTTGCCTATTTATAATTTGCTCCTTTCAAAGGGCATATGTATGCTGTATCTTGAGGTAAATATGCGCTCCAAATGTCTTAAAATGCGTTTTCCTATGGAAGTGAGTGGGACTCTGCCTTGAAATATCCACTGTGAATAAAAGAACAAAGCATTAATAATGACGTCTGGGTAATTCCCTAACTATGTGAAACTTTCCGATATTTTGTTTAATTTATAAAGATTGGCTACTTCTCTAGGTCGAAATTTTATTAATTTTCACGAGAAAAACCGGGAAAGAAGTCTCACGATTCTGTAAATATTGATTAACCACTTTTCTAACTAAACCAGCATTTCCTTTTTTACTTACATAATGGGCACCACGCAGTACTTTCATGGCATACTAGGATTATAGTTTATAGCTAATAAGTGTTGTATCCATATGGTCAATATCATTTATCCTTTTTTAAATTAAAAACCTGTTTGATATAAATCAAATGTTGCTTTGAAGGAACTGAATAGTAAGCCACCTGTCTCTCAACTCACACCTCGATAGAGCAGATTTAAATAAATCTGTCATTCTAGTCTGGTTATAACGTACTCGCTGATGGACAGCTCAATTCACACGAATTGGAGAGCCCAAACAACAAGGCCCCATAAGTGGGCTGATACATTATTTCAGTTCTGTTTGAGTTTGAGATCATAAATCTGATTGGAACCAGACGACCCGAGGCTATTAGGCAACGCAACAAAACAATCAAGACGAAATTCAAGTTCGATAAATTACAATCCAATAACCCTTGATTTGAGCGAATGCCTTATTTCATATTTTATTAATTGCAGCCATTTTTTGCGAAAACGCGGAGACCACCTTTTCTTCTTTTCCCTTGGCACGGTACGTTGTAGGATTTGATCACGTGCTTTTACTGAAATAACAGGTAAGCTGAATATTAAATGAGATAAATAAAGAAAAATGTTTTGTTTTAATAGATTGAGGCAGATTTTTGTCTACATAGGTTTTGGTTTATATAAAGGTTGCCTGGGGCGTAAATCCCAGCTTAATAATTAAATGGCTTAATTATGAGAGCATCCGCATTTTAATAAAAAATTGATTAATTCGACTGGTGTGGTTTGTTAATCGATTTGTGGATTTTATGAATTTGTTTTTGAAACATATTTTATTTAATTGTTCGAAATTCCCACGAAGCAATTTGAACACATTCTTTAGAAAAGTCAATTATGAGAAAGTATTAACAATTAATTATTTCATTACAGTTATTTTTCGTTTACTGTAGTCTAATCAAACTCTGGCCATGAATACTGTTGGGCATGATTGAGAAAATCAATATTATCATTACCATACTGAATTTAAAATAAACTATTCAAGGTGGTCTTTACTAGAAGTAGTTAGTGAAGTTTTAATTATACTTTCTTTATTTAATTTTATTGGTTACGCCATAGACTTACCTCCACATGGTGCACTCTGGGCAACGTATACTCATACGGCAAAAAAGTCTATTAACCGGTAGTTGATTTCTGACTTCAGACTATCATCACCCCACTGTATGTCATATTCGACTACTTCCACAGTACTCACCTCACCTTTTTTCTACCTTTGTGTCTGTCGCTTTTACATCTTTGAAATACTCTACTGTTCCCCCTCCCCACCCGACTTATTGTCACTTTGATGTTCCTCCTCCTCTCTGTGAAGCCCGAAGTCAACTAAAGGGCTAATGATAACTATCAAGACGCCTGCCATTTGATATAAATAAATAAATATTCTCTACCTTAGTATCTGTTTCTCTTACAATC